AAGTGGTTGGCGACATACCAAACTAGAGATCACAAGGACAAGAAAGGAATCATTTTAATTTGTGGAATAAGCCAGTGTTTCTCAAATGGTGGTTCGTGGTCCGGCGCCGGTCTGCGAGCTTTATGTCCCCGGTTCGCTCGCTATGTATACTTGTGGGTGAAGAAAAAGAACATTTAATAAATAAATCTGGCACCGGTCCATGGTGCAATTTCAAAACGGGTCCACCTGTCCACCAAAACCAACAGTTTGAGAAACGCTGGCAAAAGCCATTCAGTGACAGACAGAACCGGGACGAACACTGAGATTGTAACACTTACTTTCAATTTAACGCTTATTTTCACTTTAACACTTACTTTCACTTTAGCACTTACTTTCACTTTAACACTTACTTTCACTTTAACACTTTCACTTTAACACTTACTTTCACTTTAACACTTTCACTTTAACGCTTACTTTCACTTTAACACTTACTTTCACTTTAACACTTACTTTCACTTTAACACTTACTTTCACTTTAACACTTACTTTCACTTTAACATTTACTTTCACTTTAACACTTTCACTTTAACGCTTACTTTCACTTTAACACTTTGTTTAACTTTTGATAAATGTCAGAATTTAAATGGTTGATGGTTTATTAACGTATTTAGATTTTTTTTTAAATATCAAAATAAAAAATAGTTAACATCTTGAGATACCCTTATCCAAGATTTATTGTCCCGATCACACTGTGATAAATAGGACAATATTATATGTTAAACGTGTGTATTTTAATTTGGAGTAACTTTTTCAATGTTCATTGGCACAATCAGAAGTAGAACTCTTCACTAGCACAAAATGTTTCAAATAAACAAGATTTAGGTTGATCTAGGAATGATACCATTATATATCACAAAACATTTAAAAAAAAATTACTTATGGAGAACAAAAAATGTTGCTTCCTGATTCATCTAATATATAGGCAATCATTTCAAATGGTAAAAAAAAAAAAAAAAAAAAAAAAAAAAAAAAAAAAAGAGTGAGAAATAAAGACCATGCCAACGTGAAGAGAAGATAAATTCAAATATATGAGACAGTATGAGAACTGTCATATCACAATATGAAAGTACGCTAGTTCAAATGAAGATGGAATGATGACAAAATCACTTGTATGCTTTGGGATTGTCTGTTAAAAAGGGGTGGGGGTGGGGGTCTTTGTCTTTTATACATATCTATATCATAAGGGAAAGCAAAATCAGAATTTGAGTTTATCACATACAGGTAAAACATTATGATCAAATCATTAACAATAAAAGTAGTTTCTAATGACTGGTACAAATGCATCAATAAAATTTTGTGATAATACAACAAAAACGATACTTTGAAATGAGAAGAGAGACAGTGAGTGGACCAGCCAATATAATGATGAAAATAAACACTTTGGGAAAATTATAAACTTTACTAAACAATCTAAAATTACATAAAAATGTTAAAAATGTTTCCATTTTATAAAAGACATGAAAAATTTTTTTTTTTTTAATGTACGAATGCATATCATCATGAGTGTTCATTAAATAATTATGCTTGAAATTATGATATGATTCTATGATTTCCATTAAACAATTTACGAAAGTCGATGCTATTGGAGCACAAATCAATCAATAAGTCAAAGATATTGTAGACTGAGGAGAATACATTTTAAGAAGACGCCCTTTGCTTATTAGATTGACACAACCATTTCATGCCCTTTGCTTATTAGATTGACACAACCATTTCTTTTTGGTGTCTTTCCATCGGACTTTAACTTTTTGAATAAAAAAAAAAAAAACCGGGGATTATGATGGAATATTTTGGGCCATTACGCGCAAGTATTAATCATAATCTGATTGATTTGGTATTTAGAAAGTTCTACAGAGATTACAACTTGACCCACATTTGAAAACAAGCAGGGGCGCTGGTACAAGGGTGATTAAAATGGGAAAAGGGGCCAAAGTGAAGTGTTTAAAACATTTTATAAATAAATATATATATATACGAATGCTCGCAAAATTATCTGCAGGGTTTAAGTTAAAGTATCTCTAAGTCTGGCTTTAAAAAGTAGTATTTACAAATTTTACTGTGGAACAGATATTTGAGTTTAAAAAAAATATTATTTACAAAGTTTACTGTGGAATAAATATTTAAGTTTAAAAAAAAATAATTGTTATTTACACATTTTACTGTGGAAAATAATTTAATTTTTTTCCAAAACTAGTATTTACAAAATTTTCCATGGAACAAATATTTGAGTTTTTTTTTTCTCCTACATTAGCAAAACAGGAAAAAAATATGGAGTATGGTAAATAAATAATACTGTTTTTGACGTTACTCTTGTTGTCAAATGTTTAGTTATAATACTCACAAACTGAATGACTTTTTCAAATGTTAAATATCATTTTATTTTTCTTATGTTACTACTTGAACATGTTTTTTTTTTGGTCCTAAATGTTTACCCTATATGTTTGTCCTAAATTTTTCCCTATAATATAGCTAAAAACTAAAGTTTCTTTTTAAAAAGTACTAACAAATATGTACTCCCCTCAGTCCTGACGCCCCCAATCTTGGTCACTAAAACGTAAAAGAATTTAGTTAAAACCTGCCTATACGAATAATCACATATTATACCCAATAAATGTTCACTACCTATTTTAAAATCTTATTCAGGATAAATTACTCTTTCTTTCAATGGTTCCACGATGTGTTAGTTGTTACCCCTATCAGATCACAGGCTCATATTATGAACTTAATTTAAACTTCCGAGCCGTCCAAATATCTTGCCCAGCAACTTTACAGTCCTCTTCTGTTATTTTGGTTCTGTTGCAAAGAAAGCCTGCTTTCAACAAAAAGCGGCATGGGGCAACAGGATTCTCTCAGCAACTTGCCACGCTCTATTACATACTTTGTGACCTGTTCGGAACTTAATGTGTCTATACTTAAGACGGTTCTAAATGTCCCTAAACTTACGCAGGGCCTCAATGTCCCCATACTTAAGACGCGCCCCAATGTGTCTATACTTAAGACGGGCCTCAATGTATCTATACTTGAGACGGGACTCAATGTATCTATATTTGAAACGGGACTCAATGTATCTGTACTTAATACGGGCCTAAATGTCCCTAAACTTAAGACGGGCCTCAATGTTTGTATACTTAAGACGGGCCTCATTGTGTCTATACTTGAGACGGGCCTCAGTGTATCGATACTTAAGACGGGCCTCAATGTTTCTATACCTAGGACGGGCCTAAATGTGTCGATACTTAAGACGGGCCTCAATGTTTCTATATTAAGACGGGCCTCAATGTGTCGATACTTAAGACGGGCCTCAATGTGTCTATACTTAAGACGGACCTAAATGTCCCTATACTTGAGACGGGCCTACATTTTCCTATACTTAAGACGGGCCTCAATGTCCCTATACTTGAGACAGACCTCAATGTGTCTATACTTAAGACGGGCCTCAATGTGTCTATACTTAAGACGGACCTAAATGTCCCTATACTTGAGACTGGCCTACATTTTCCTATACTTAAGACGGGCCTCACTGTCCCTATACTTGAGACGGGCCTCAATGTGTCGATACTTAAGACGGGCCTCAATGTGTCTATACTTAAGACGGGCCTCAATGGCCCTCTACTTCTGACGGGCCTCTATGTGTCTATACTTAAGTCGGGCCTCAATGTGTCGATACTTAAGACTGGCCTCAATGTGTCGATACTTAAGACGGTCCTAAATGTTCCTATACTTTAGACGGTGCCGTCCAACAATTATGTTGCCAGGTTTTAACACTAGTAGAAACAAATAAAGGCACTCGAACCAAATTAAATAATTTCAACTTAGTAAACTCATCATGATTGTACAGTTTTAATTGTGCATTTAATGTACGTTCCCTATCAGCGGTCAGCGTAAAGTAAGTTAAATCTGACTTTTTCATTTAGGTTTCACTCTTGAAAAGTCTTCGTTACATTGCGATAAGCCAACTCATCAGAGATTCTTCTTTCGCTCGTTATTTAGACAAAAGTGACTGACACATAATGAAGCATTCTAAACGCCAATGAATGTCTCAAGTCTTATGTCTCGTGGCACGCATCAACGGTCATTGGGATGAATTGTTCATGTTTTTCTTGATTGATCTGTTGCTTCATGTCGTTTGGATAGTGACGGTAACATTTCGTTTCCCAACCAACTTCTGGTCTTAGGATGCACACGACACACTTTGCAGTGAGGCACTCTTCTAAGCTTGGTATTAAGACGGCCTGACACCATGAAGTGCGCTTTAAAAAAAGGGATGAGTGAATTTTTATGTGCAAGGATCGCCCTGCACCAGCGCTATTCTGTTCATTGGCAAGGTCAGGAAAATTGTTTGACAATGAGTAAGCGATTAAGTATGCTTTATTGGCGATCGTGAGTTTTAATAAATTGTTGATCATCTTTTCTTTGACAATAAATTTTCTTTACTGCTAAAATCGACTATTTTTGTACATGTCTTTAAAGGAATGAGACTCGGGGGGCAACTTCGTTTTGGGTGTCGATGACATCACTGTAGCCCACACGTCTGTCAAAGATTTTAATTCGCTCATGTTTTCAGAATCGGTAAAATGGTTTTGGTTTCGACCAATTGCAGTTCGAGGCCACATTTTGTAAAAAAAAAAACCAAACACGCTCCCTTCTTGTAGTTCTGCAATTTATGACACAATCTATTCCCATTTTGATAGTTTCCACCGTGATATTTTACAGACATAAGATATTCCACCGTCTTGTGCAATATCTTTGTAGCATCTATTTCATTTCTAAGCTCTTTGTTACTCATGTTCGGCAGCAGAATCAAACGTCTGAGACAACCAGTTGCTTTCTTCTAAATCCCTTCAAAATCAGATTCTATTTCGTTTCGAATAATATTGATAAAGTTTTCAAATAGTTGAGACGATTCTGATGTTGTTACCAAATCTATCGAATATAAAAAAAAAATAAATAGAGTTAAATAAGTCATTTTATAACAAACTTTTTTTTTTGGTGGTACTTATACAGATACATTTAGTAGATCGGTCTAAACTGTACGTAATTAGGTGAGACGTTCCAACGGAAAGTAAATGAAGCTTTTAATGTCATGCGAATGAAAGGCGCAAATAAGTACCGCTTTTTTTTTGGTTCTAACATTTATAAATGAAAAACTAATAATTTGAATCTAAACGCGAAGGGGCGTCTGCGTGCACCTCCCCACTCCCCTCATTACGACATAACAATAATTTACACCCTTCGTTCACCAATGAGCCATCTACTGTATGTCCGATACGATTGCGATAAAGTCCCTTATACCGCTATAGTAATCATGTGTATTCGCACACCATACAGTATTTCCGCAGTGTCCTTAAATGCCACAGGTACATACACATCGTCAACGACAGACTGTACATAAATCATTCACCACGCCACATGAAAGATGCTCGGCTACCAATCGCTTTATCGTCTTAAGAGCACATTCTCCTCTATGCCAGCCCCGAGCTCTGCCCGCACTGCACTCATTCACAACATGTTGTCCATCATGGATGCACTCGCCTCAGTTTCCGGCTCTATCCGTGACAGTTTAATTTGAACGCTGCCGCTGCCGGTACTCTTCCTGTCCGAACTCGATTTCCCATTACAGTTAGTGACCGCCAAGGCGTAACAGCTTGACCGCCTGGGGCTACTAAAGAACGTGGTCTTGGAGTAACGGCTGAATGTTCGGCTCTCCTGGATGGCATTGATTTTTTGACGTATCACGGATTGGACCTGCAAGATAAAGGCACACACATTTTTTTTCCCACTCGAGCCATCATTTAATTATATTTTTTGTAATAAACGACAAAACTAAACGTTTTATTTGAAAACGCATAAATTACAAGTGAAAAAAAAGTGCTGTCCTAGGACTGAAATAAGCAGAAATACATTTTAAAGACATTGACGCTTGAGATTTATGCGCTCAAGTTGTATGTTGGTTTACTCGCAAAAAAAATTTGTCAATTTACAAAAAATAATAAATTAAACTTTGCCTTTGTGGTTGGGAAAAATTCAAAAATTTAAAAACGGAATAGGTACGGTTGCATAGTCATAACTGATAAATCTTCCGTCTTACTGGAACTCTAAAGGGTAAGAACTGATTCATTATTTCTGAATATTTTTTTTTGTTGCTATCAATTGTACATACCTCTCCATTCAAGAAGCAGTAGAATATAGCGACAAATAGTCCCTGTGAGTGAGAGTACATAAGAAAAAGGTGGTAAGCCACTTGATAAAAGACAAAACAATTAACAAAAAATAATCACCTACCAGTTGGACACAAAGGGAATCTCTGTCTTGATTTGTTTATAAATAAATTAACAAGAAATTCAGAGCCAAAATTGACTAATTAAAAAGTGGCCTCAGTGACACATGCAAGTTTGAAAGGAAACAATGACTTAAATATTGTGTTCAATATTTTTTTTTTTAAATGTACACATTACCTGTCATTGAAAGCACTTATTACAGCAATGTAAATTAAACTCTACTATCATTTACCGTTTAGTTTATTATAATATGGAAAAGCGTAAGCGTATATTAAGCAAATTTGGATTACACGTATAACGGAAAGGGCTGGGCAATGTAAGAAAGGGATTTGTTATGTACTAAAAGGGATCAGGTTTGTAATTCAAAGGGTGGGCTACGTGTTATGCAAAATAACACATTTTAAAAGTCTTAAGACGAAATATTTTGAATTTTGAAAGTTTTTTTAATACTAAAATTTTAGTTAATTCAGTTGTATCCCGTTTGTTGCCTACTGCAGTTACAATTTAATCACGAGGGCAACATGAACAACTAAACAATCTTTGTTTTTTACGAGTTGCATCGCATTATTGGCGACATCAGAGCAAAATTTCGTATTTATATTGCATCAAATACAATTTCAGATATGGAAAAGCAATACTACTTCAGCCCTTTCACGAGCTCCTCTTGTCTGATTGGGAAGCAGGCCACATGCCCCGGGACATGAGGGACTCGGACCTTACATGAGCTCCTCTTGTCTGATTGGGAAGCAGGCCACATGCCCGGGACATGAGGGACTCGGACCTTACATGAGCTCCTCTTGTCTGATTGGGAAGCAGGCCACATGCCCGGGACATAAAGGACGTCAAAATCGTAACATGGTACACAAAAAGGTGACTGTGTCGTCCTTCGGCGGTTCCAGAGTCTGGCTAACCACATCCACCCAGAGGCCCAATGTAGCTTCAGGTGTGGTCGTTCAACTATAGACATGATATCCTCGCCACGCGCGGACACGCCATTTGCAGGAGAAGTGTATTGAACGACATCAGTCTCTTAACATTGTATTCTTAGATTAACCAAAGGTTTGGCCTTGGTAAGACTGAGAGGCCTGTTCAGTATCATGCATAAAATAGGTTGTCCCCACGACTGCTCACCATCATAAGTCATTTCACGAAAACGTGCTGGGCACAGTAACCTTCAGTGATGCGGTCTCTGAGGAAATAGCAGTCAGCAGCCGAGTAAGACATGACTGCTTACTTGCACAATGCTCTTCTCCGTTTTCTTCTCAAGGCCTCTTTAGTTTGCTTTCAGGGAATGAGTACATCCACACTAACTCTGTTCTGAATTTCGCGAGCGTTCGTGCAAAGACCAAGGTAGAAAAGGTGATGTTTCATGAACTGTTGTTCGCGGACGATGTCGCCTTAACATCCACCATGTTAAGAATTTGACTGGCCATTAGTCTACAGAAATCCAATTTCATTATGCAAGAAGCAAAATACCCTCTAAACATAACTATGGAGGTCCATAGCTTGTCACTAATTGAGAATTTGAAATACTTTAGGTACAATTTCTTAAACTCACTCTCCATTTTCGAAATAGCAAGCATTAGGATCGCAATAGCAGCAAAAAATATGGCTGGATTGAACAAACCGGTTTTGGGATAATCCTAAACTCACCGAAAGTACAAAACTAAGCGGATATATGGCATGTGTACTTAGTACGCTCCTATATGGCAGTGAAGTGTGAATCACAAATGCCAGTCATGAGCGGTAACTCAACAGCTTCTGTCAAAGATTTCTGCGTCACATTTTGTGAATTCGATGACAGGACAAAGGGCTAACACAAGTTTTGTAATGTGGCAGAATGTGCAGTTTTTAGCAAGAGGCCACTTCGAGGGTCAGGCCGTGTAAAAAGAATGGAGGAAGGCTGTATTCCAAATGATATGTTGTTGACGAGTTGGAATATCCACGGCTACGATTTTAAAGGACGTTTGCAATAACGACATGAGCACTGCCCCCAGCTGCAATAACGACATGAGCACTGCCCCCAGCTGCAATAACGACATGAGCACTGCCCCCAGTTGCAATAACGACATGAGCACTGCCCCCAGCTGCAAAACGACATGAGCACTGCCCCCAGCTGCAATAACGACATGAGCACTGCCCCCAGCTGCAATAACGACATGAGCACTGCCCCCAGCTGCAATAACGACATGAGCACTGCCCCCAGCTGCAATAACGACATTAGCACTGCCCCCAGCTGCAATAACGACATGAGCGCTGTCCCAGCTGACGAACAGCAGTGAATGAAGTGTATAAAGCCGTTTAACAGGCAGAAGCCCTTGCAACAAAAAGAGCATTTTTATTGAAGGCCACATTTAACAAGGAGTCGTGTCTCTTCTGTGAGAAGTGCAGCTGAGACTGTCATTCCAGGATCGGCCTCGTAAACATTTTATGGAGTGTCAATAGCTGCCCAATAGCTGCAATAACAGAAAAGTTAGCTTACCAGCAAGGACTAAAGTCCTGCACAAGTATGTAAAATCACTACTAGCACGATTAGATCTCAAATAATTATGTATTTACCTGCAATGACTGTAAAAGTGCATTGACATGTTCCAACACAAATTTCACTTCAGTGCTGTGATATGGAGTTTGGATAAACAATATGTATGTAACACCCAGTAGTGGGAACAGAACAACAATGGCTTTCAGAGCTTTCCTGTAAACACATGGGTATGTTGTTTTTTAAATCAATATCATTCTCAAAAGGAAATTTCCAAACAAAAGAATTTTTTTTTTCAAAGTATTAACACTAATGATAAAAATATCTAAATCATGGACATACAAGAACAATAATGTCACAAGATAACAATTTGATTTAATGAAATCGTTAAGTTACCGTAAGCGTTGGTTTATGAATCTGAACTTAAAAACATTTGATAAATAGAGTTAAGTGTTTGGCGAGAAGAGTGGTCTATAAGATTCTATCTTTCAAAACTTAAAGGCTGAGTTGTTATTTTCCGTGTCTGAAATTTTTTTGAAAGAAATTTCATCGACGGAAAATTGATCGACGGAAATTTGATCGAACGAAAATTTTATCGAACGGAAGTTTGGTCGAACGGAAGTTTAACCGAATTTTTTTTTTTTCAGTTCACGCGTTCCAATTTCCGTCAAATGTCTTTTTAAACGCACTATACAATATAGTAAAACAAAATAATAGTTCAAAAAGAAATTGGACGCAAAATTTGATCGTGTGGACAGAAAATAAAATTTGACAAAATTTCCGTTCGCTTAAATATCCGTCGTTCAATTTTCCGTGGACGAAATTTCTTTCAAACAAATTTACGGTAACTGTGATTTTATCCAACTCGATATAAAATGAACAATCTTCCGTTAACTTTCCAAGATTAGATTATAGTGTTATACAAATCTTTTTTTCCGCAACATTATTTTCCTCGCGTTGTAAACAAAAAATTCAATCTGTATTACGACTTGTTTCATTTTTAAAAAAAAATCTATCTATAATCTTTTTGAAGTTGGCACAACAATGTAAACAATCTATCTTTACTCCTCAGGAAACTGGCACATCACTCTGACAAATCTATCTTTCACTTTTTAGGAAATCAGCTCAACATAATGACCAATCGATCCATCATCTATCCGACACGCGCTCTTCCAGAATAGACCTGGTCGCCTACCTGTACTGCCTGGTCTCTAACGTGTTGGAGGCTTTCAGTTTGGTCACCAGCACCCAGATGATCACCGTGATGAAGAACACGTTAATCTAAAAGTGAAGAACACAAGGAAGACATTAAAAATCAGAAGGATAGGATCCAATTTATGATCGCTAGTTGTCTCTACATAAGTGTAATCCTTAAAATTTCAACTATTTAGAAAGTCTTTTTTATGAAACAGGAAATATGGGCAGTGGTTTTTGCATTACTTGTGGGCGTTGTTTAAGTTAAACAGTTAAAATTTAAATTGTGGTACTCGAATCCAGGAAAAAACATTGAGGGGCGTAACTATAGGAACTGAACAAGAACTAAAGTTGTATTTTTTGCAACAATGGGCATTATAGACACGGCTGTACATAACAAGAGATTTAAGCAGTTATTTGGAGTAGAAAATATATCATATCATATATATATCATATATCATATCATATCATTTATCATATCATATATCATATCATATATCATATCATATATCATAACATATATATACAAGTGAAAGTTTGTGGGTTTGTCTGTTTGTTCCACAAAGGCTTTTACATGGATTGATGGATCTTGATCAAACTTGGCATATATATCTATCAGTATGCAGAAAGAACTCTTAAGGGCTTATGAACTTTTTATCACATTAGGTTTGGGGCCGGGGGCCCCGAATTTGATTTTTTTAATAATATGAGCTATATAAATAAAATTAACAACAAATACTCCTACATGAGTAGATGGATATTGACCAAACTTAGTAAACATATACTTGTTTATCCATATTCAAATACGGACGGGTATTGAACTCATTATATCATTTCATATGGGGCCGGGGGCCATGTTTCATTTTTTCTCATACAAGCCATATAAATATCAATAGGCTTGGACAACACTATTGTTTTCTATGGGAATTGTTGTATCAATACCCTTCATTGTCCGTTTTGAAATATCGGTGGATTTAAAACTAATAATATCCATTCTAGAATTGTCCACAAAGATCAATTATTTTAAAGAGCTATATCTATGGCATTTTAAGTAGATTTTCATGAGGCCAATTTTAAATTTTAACTCTATTATTTATGAGTCTGATATTTGTAGGGCCCCCCATCTCAGACATAACAACAAAGGTACTTTATTAAATGGTCCCCCACCGTGGCCCTCATTTTAATTTAAAATTACCATAGTTATAGTAGTGCACATTAGTAGTATAACATTTCGTATTTGAAAAATAATTACTTAGAAAAGTAATTTTTTATACTAGGATATTAAATTAAATCTAGAATGTTCCAGAAGGTTCTTTAATGTTCTACGGCGATATATAACGGAATTTAAAAGCTTATTTGAACACAATCGCACCGAGCATGATCCCCAAGAGGAATAGGATCCTATTGGGGATCCAGATCTAACAGTAAACTGGAACCCAACGGTTACGCGATCCCATTTTGATCCCATCGGGTAACGCGATCAAACCGGGATCGGGATCCTATCGGGAAAAGGGATGACATCTATTAACTTATATAACATTCTTTTTTTCTCGTAGGAGCTGTATAAATAAAATTATCAACACATATGGCTACATGAAATGATGGTTCTTGACCAAACTTATTACACATGCACTTGATTATCCATAATAAATTACCGAAGTGTACTGAACTCAATTTCAACTTAAATGTTCTATAGTTATAGTAGTGCATTAAGTTGTATAATTTTTCGTATTCGATAAAAAATGACGTAGAAAATTCATTTTTTCACGTTTCGTGGAGAATAATACATTTAATTAAGAATGTTCCCAACGTTCTATTTTTTTTCTACGGGAATATATAATGGACTCTAAAAGCTTATTGCTATATTAGTTAGTTTGCTTGATTTCTATATTTTCATGTGTATTTTCTCTGAACTTACGCTTCATAATCCTACCGTGAATGAAATCGCCTTGGAACATACTCGAACTGAGAAAGATGATACTAACGGGAACAAGATCTAACAGTAAGCTAGAACCCACAAGTAACGCGATCGCATCGGTTAACAGGGTCAAACCGGCATCAAGATCGTATCGGAAACGGATTACCATGGAAGAAGAGGATCGCACCGGCAAACGGGATCCTACGGCAGAAAAGGATCGCACCGGCAAACGGGATCCTACGGCAGAAAAGGATCGCACCGGCAAACGGGATCACACCAGCAAATTGAATCCCACTGGGATCAGGATACCAAAAGGGATCAAAACCCACCGGCATTGGGATATTACCGGAAAACGAAATTGAAAGGGGATCCTAACGATATCGGGATCCTTCCAGGATCGGTATCCTACCGGGATAGAATCCTACCGGGATCGGCATCCACTTGGATCGGGATGTTTGTCCAGGCCTGTCAAAGTCTGCTCACCCTGATTGCACTACTAGATGTTCAATTGATAAATGCTACTTACCAATAAAACGGCGATAATCGGTCCTTTATAAATGTAGTCTATGCTATCATATTTCTCCTCAGGTAGCCAACACCTGCTCATGGATCAGAAATATAATCATGAATTACAAAATACAACATTCAGAAGTCTAAGATGTTTTTAACAACAACAAACTATTGAAATAATTATTTAAAAGATGAGAAGAGTTTAGTATTTTTCTCATTTAGGATAATTCTTTTAAAATTACTACCATCAATTAACAAGCGTATTAAATACTAAAGAATTCCTTTTGCCTATCAGAAAGGTATCTCTTTTTTTGTGGACCTACTATACTATTTAAGAATTCTTTTAAAAGTGTTTTAAACGAGAACAAATTTAATGTTTGGTTAATGTAATTAATTTTTTTTTCAAATTTAGTACTTCTACATTATTCTTAAAAAATATGTTGTTGTTTTTTTTTTGTTTGTTTTTTTGTTTTTGTTTCGTACTAAAATAAAATTTGTTAAAGCAGAGCTTCACTGGCAACTGTTTGTAATTTAAAAAAAAAATTTAATCGCTAGCATGCATACTATTGATGGAGCCTGAGCTATCACTGATCAAGGCTCAGGGTATTATTTTGGCAAACAACTCCATTTGCTTGGCTGTGCCATAAACATTTCATTGACACATGACTCGCCAGCCACCGTGGACTCTCCGAGTTCAAGTTTGGAGCACGAAGTTAACAGGAGTGCAACTTTTGTCTTTTGTTTTGTTTTGTTTTTTTTTTGTTTTGTTGTTGTTTTTTTGTTTTTGTTTTTGTTTTTTTGTTTTTTTTTTGGGGGGGGGGGTATTGTGGGTTGCATTTGCGTTCAGATTTTTCTTCATGACTGGCGTGTCTGAGATGCAAAATGAACCGTATTTACTCAGTTTTATTGTCATTAAACAATTTACCATTTGTTTTTTGTTTTTTTTTTTTTTTTTTTTGTTTTGTTTTTTTTTTTTTTTTTTTTTTTTTTGTTTTTTTTTTTTTTTTTTTTTTTTTTTTTTTTTTTTTTTGGGGGGGGGGATATTGTGGGTTGCACAGTTTGGGACCTTTTATTTTTTTTGGTCTAGCTTTTTTTGATTGCAGCTAATGATAAGTGTTGTGTTGCCCTGGTTTGATGCTGACATTTCAGCTTCCATTACGGATCGGACTTGCTGGGGTTGAGCATGTAAGAGTCCACATCTCTGGCTTTTGGGCAGTTTGCCCACTAACCGTACCACATTGTGCTAAAGTGGTCCACAGAACAACATATGATGCATAGAACGTTGAATGAGTTAATGGTTGTGGCTAGGCAGCCGCAGGATTTGTCAGTCTATCTGCGCGTTTCCTTCCACATACATAGGTTACTTGGGACCCATTCCTTCGTAACTCTTCCTCTATTTCTTTGGATGTTGCCCACTCATGTGTTTGATTTCACATGCTTGAGGATAGTTTCAGCGCCGCCAAATTTCAGAGTCAAATATCTAAAATTAAGACGTTATAATTAAATGATTCAGCGCTCTGTAGTTACTTTGAAGCAACTTTTTTTATGAATCACCGATTTTATTGGATGAACTAAGTGACCAGAAAACCATTATAGTACTTGATAGTTACTTACATGATAGATTCGTACTGAGATCTGACACCTACCCAAATACAGGTGATGACGAACGGAACACCTGCAAGAGAAAAATACATTTTACTGCAACAAACCTGTACATTTTTTTTTCAAACCATAACCTTTTGCAGAAGAGCTATTTATTACCAATATCTTATATGCATTATCTGAGTTTTCTTTATATTGTTATTAAGATTTGGTATCTGCTCTTCCTTAACTGTTGGGTATGGTTGTTTGTGTCTGCAAAACGAAATTTTTCCGAACAGATGTGACATGTTTTGAAAAGCAATAATCTAAAGGTTGTGTCGTGATAATTGTTATCTGCTATTTTAAACGTGAATACATATATTTAGTCTCTAAAGATCATCAATCTACATTATGGATCACCACCAAATTTTGCTTCGTTATAAATCAATATGTACTTGGTCTATACCAGAGTTTCTCATCATAGAACGCACGCACAACGAGAAACAATTTTACGATTTTGGTGGGATTTCAGGAGATCAAAAAAATTAGGGAACCACTGGGTAATACAGGGACGGCTCAAGGTACCAGCAACTTGGGACGTTTCACAGGGTGTCACGTGCGTAGGGCGCCATTAGAGATCTTGAAAAATATGAAAATGCATTAAATGTGGCTGCCCTAGACGAAATTTTTATTGCCCAATATTTGTCTGCCATACTCCATAATTGGTATGTTCTTGGACAGGAATTGGCCGCACAAGTCACCGCTTACAAAGGTAGGTGCATCGAGAGCAATGGGTTCTGTATTGATCTTGTTGAGCTACTTGGAATTTTAAAATTAATCTTCGTCAACTTGTGTCTAAAGAAACTTACGTTCACTGTTATGGAAAAAATGTTCGAACCGAAATAATCAGTTTGTTAGGAAATACTGTTCAAGAATATAGTAACCGAGCTAAATCAGCCAAATGTTTCAGCTTTATTCTTTATTTTAGTATGCACAGCAGCTGCAATTTTCTACCAGCTTTTTAGATGTAGAAGACATATAAATATGAAAAATGGACGTGTTAAACTCGTGTTCGTATCCAGCATTTAAACACACTTTCTTGAAGTCTTAGAAACGGATTTTTCAGTGTGCATCTGGAATTTAAATGACAAGGTAGGGGAAATGGGCCACGATTTGACACGTCTCACAATCTAAACATCACAGCATCTTTTCATAGAAACGTTTCTTGTTTCTTTGCAATCCAGGCGCGGAGAAGCGCGACACAAAAAAATATGAGAAATAACATTTCATAGGTGTTAAAAGTAACGACGCCAATTCGTTATGTTTTATGCATACGGATGGGAAAACTTTGATAACTTCAACAGGAGTGACATGTTTTTAGGGCGCAGGATTTTAGAGTAGATGAATGGGATACGACCTATCCTTTTAGGCTTGTTTCATTCGTGATCATACACATATAATGTAAATAAAACCTATTGGAAATGCATAGCACATCATTTTCCTTGTTAATACTGCATGCATTTTTTAGATTCAATTTAAGACTATAAATTAAAAAAAAAAAAAAAAAAAAAAAAAAAAAAAAAAAAAAAAAAAAAAAAAAAAAAAAAAAAAAAAAAAAAAAAAAAAAAAAAAAAAAAAAAAAAAAACCACCTTATGCTTAGTCATCCAAAACACCATGTTAAGAAGCATTATTCTATTAGCCAATTTGTTAGTGGTCTTCACTGCTAATATGCTAGCGTAAACTTTCATCGTTAACCAACAGTAGAGCCAAATTTCTGCTATGTGTCACTATAAAAAAAAAAAAAAAAAAAAAAAAAAAAAAAAAAAAAAAAAAAAAAAAAAAAACCACCTTATGCTTAGTCATCCCAAACACCATGTTAAGAAGCATTATTCTATTAGCCAATTTGTTAGTGGTCTTCACTGCTAATATGCTAGCGTAAACTTTCATCGTTAACCAACAGTAGAGCCAAATTTCTGCTATGTGTCACTACGAGGATTTCACGAGTGATTCATTCGAAGACATATAAAAGATGAACTGTGTCACATAATTAACAGTATGTAAACTATACACAAACATACTACAAGATAATATATTATGTTGTTCTTGTATATAATTAATAAAAAAATAAATAAATAAAGTAAATGCATCCCTTTCTCCTACTGACACCAAATCCAAGGTAGATTACCAGTGAACATAAAACTATGATACTACAAGACAATAATTTAAAAAAAAACAACTGCTCTTTTGCATACTAAAACTACAAAAAATAATTTTCAATAATTTCGTCTAAGAGTTCAACAATGTTTAGATAACAAATTAATGAAGTGATGCGATTTTAAAACCTAAATAATGAAGGATTAAGAAGAGAAAAAAAATACTTTCAAACTGAACCCTTGTTTTATAAACAATATTGCTGACGTTGAAAACAACACAATGTTGACCAGCAAGAATTTGACACCATTTCATTATAGATGTATGGAAGAAACTGTTGACAAATATTCAATGACCAGACGTTCAAAAACGCATATGCTCAAAACCTGATAACTTGTAATTATGTTATCACCATGGCCTGTCGTGCGCATTAATAACTACAATGGACACAGAGATTTATGCGAAAAACTGATTAAATTCTCTAGACATTTCTAAAAAATTTCGTAGACATTAAAACGTTCTTGGTCATATGAAACACGACTTTCATATATGAGCGTTATATATTTTACTCTCAGTTAATCCTTTCCTGGTGAACGACCTTTAAGCTGACCCCAATTCGCCTGCGTTAGTATTGGACGTGGCTGACTCCCTTTGATCCTCTTTACCACAAACCAATCCATCGCCTGTTTCTAAACTCGAAAGCGGTAGAACATTGTGGAACGTTTGATTTAATTTACGAGGCGGATTCTGAACTCGAATTTTCAATAGAATAGACTATAAATACGGCTAGTGGTTGAATGAAACCGCAGACTGAAGGGGAGATAGACGAAGACAGCGCGAGGGAGCTATTTTGGGAACGTGTGAATGATTTGTTTACAGTAGACCTCCTTTCATTATTTGTACCTTTTTTGCACATGTGTTTTATTCGACATTGTGCTGGTACCAGCCACACAATATACTGTAAGTTAAAAGTTTTTTTTAAATTATATTTATTTTTGACTTTTGTACTTTATTATTATCTTAATAAACTTTTTGATTGTAATTGACCCTGTTTCGAGTATCGTTTTATTTGTTATTGTTCTGATAATTTGGTATCGTCTTTTGTCATGCACTGTTTTGGAACGAGCCATACATGGAGATAGAAGATTAAATTCTCAATACAGATAGCAGTGCGTAACAACGACCATATGAAGCCTAACCCTAACCCTAACCCAAGATTGAGAATCTGTCAAAAAACTCAAATGACATTCAAAACATCCTTCAAGAAAATTAATTAAACTATTTTTTAAACGCCCTTATTACTAGTGACCTCCAATTTTGAGACCAACTCTCTATCTATAAAATTATCAAAATGAGTCCACTGATTAGAAATGCACACTGCATTACCAATCATCAAAGACGATACCCTAACATGATCCCCAGACATAGACAACCCATCAAAATAAATACAAACAACAAGACAACTCATTGGGAGCCCAATGGCTCCTCAAAATAGAAAAGAAGAAGAAGCTCAAAAATACAAACTACAAGTCAATCAATAAAAAAATCATCCCAGACTTACCCCAACCAATGATGAGATAGTAATTACATCAGTCAATCCCAGACTTACCCCAGCCAATGATGAGATAGTAATTACATCAGTCAATCCCAGACTTACCCCAGCCAATGATGAGATAGTACCATAATCGAATCTTCTGTGCTGAAAACGCCCATAAAATTATCGTAAAGAGGTAGAGCCCCTCGACAAACATCCAAAAGAAGATTGCGATGTGGAAGTATGTTGACAACGTAACAACAGCCTGGCACATTCCCTGGAGACGTCCACGATAAAATGACATACGTCAACGTCAATGTTAAACCCATTTCAATTGAATTTTTTACTTAGCACATTGCAACAGCTTTGTGAGATTTCATTGATAAACTTGTGAAATAGAAAAAAAAAAAAAAAAAAAAGAATTTGAGCGAGATTTCAATAAACTGGCTTTCTGAACTTTAATAACTGTTTCAATTCGCTCACCATTAATAAACTCACGTGAATGATGTTTATGATGTACCGCTACCTTCAGAACTACACAATAAGATAATTATTTTTATTATTAGTAATTGTTCGACGTTTCGTGATGTTGGTAACCCTTTATTTCACACATTTGGGCTAATGGCTTACCTTTATTTGACACATTTGGGCTAATGGCTTACCTTTATTTCACACATTTGGGCTAATGGCTTACCTTTATTTCACACATTTGGGCTAATGGCTTACCTTTATTTCCCACATTTGGGCTAATGGCTTACATTTATTTCACACATTTGGGCTAATGGCTTACCTTTATTTCCCACATTTGGGCTAATGGCTTACCTTTATTTCACACATTTGGGCTAATGGCTTACCTTTATTTGACACATTTGGGCTAATGGCTTACCTTTATTTCACACATTTGGGCTAATGGCTTACCCTTTATTTCACACATTTGGGTTAATGGCTTACCTTTATTTGACACATTTGGGCTAATGGCTTACCTTTATTTCACACATTTGGGCTAATGGCTTACCTTTATTTGACACATTTGGGCTAATGGCTTACCTTTATTTCACACATTTGGGCTAATGGCTTACCTTTATTTCACACATTTGGGCTAATGGCTTACCTTTATTTGACACATTTGGGCTAATGGCTTACCTTTATTTGACACATTTGGGCTAATGGCTTACCTTTATTTGACACATTTGGGCTAATGGCTTACCTTTATTTGACACATTTGGGCTAATGGCTTACCTTTATTTGACACATTTGGGCTAATGGCTTACCTTTATTTGACACATTTGGGCTAATGGCTTACCTTTATTTGACACATTTGGGCTAATGGCTTACCTTTATTTGACACATTTGGGCTAATGGCTTACCTTTATTTGACACATTTGGGCTAATGGCTTACCTTTATTTGACACATTTGGGCTAATGGCTTACCTTTATTTGACACATTTGGGCTAATGGCTTACCTTTATTTGACACATTTGGGCTAATGGCTTACCTTTATTTGACACATTTGGGCTAATGGCTTACCTTTATTTGACACATTTGGGCTAATGGCTTACCTTTATTTGACACATTTGGGCTAATGGCTTACCTTTATTTGACACATTTGGGCTAATGGCTTACCTTTATTTGACACATTTGGGCTAATGGCTTACCTTTATTTGACACATTTGGGCTAATGGCTTACCTTTATTTGACACATTTGGGCTAATGGCTTACCTTTATTTGACACATTTGGGCTAATGGCTTACCTTTATTTGACACATTTGGGCTAATGGCTTACCTTTATTTGACACATTTGGGCTAATGGCTTACCTTTATTTGACACATTTGGGCTAATGGCTTACCTTTATTTGACACATTTGGGCTAATGGCTTACCTTTATTTGACACATTTGGGCTAATGGCTTACCTTTATTTGACACATTTGGGCTAATGGCTTACCTTTATTTGACACATTTGGGCTAATGGCTTACCTTTATTTGACACATTTGGGCTAATGGCTTACCTTTATTTGACACATTTGGGCTAATGGCTTACCTTTATTTGACACATTTGGGCTAATGGCTTACCTTTATTTGACACATTTGGGCTAATGGCTTACCTTTATTTCACACATTTGGGCTAATGGCTTACCTTTATTTGACACATTTGGGCTAATGGCTTACCTTTATTTGACACATTTGGGCTAATGGCTTACCTTTTTTGGACACATTTGGGCTAATGGCTTACCTTTATTTGACACATTTGGGCTAATGGCTTACCTTTGGCAAGCTGGCCACTTTGTTCAATCTCAAGGAAATCCATTTCAAATTAGTGAACAGCAAAGCGGCCATGAAGTTACAGTGTATGGAGTTTCTCAGACAGCGGAGACTTCTATTTTTTGGAAGAAGCAATTTACATTTTAAATAAAATACATAAACAAATACACAACGGTCTTAAATATATACTACAAATATTTCGAAATAAATATTTTTTTCTATAGAGTGTACTTGTGCAATTAATAATATAATATTTTTTAAATAAGTCCTTCTGTGTAAAACAATATTATTTCATATGTTCTTTACGGTGTCTTACTTGAAATAAATGAATATGGTGAGAGAGATCAACAGTGCTACCGTTGTTATGCCGTAGCCAATATCGTAGATCATAAAGACACCATCGCGCTGAAACAATTGATATAATGTAAATATATGTGTAATTTATTGATAACATTTACAAATGGAAATAATTAAAAAATCTGGACTTAAGTATCTCTCTGTAATATGTAATGACGATCCTCAGAGGTTCCCAAACTACTAAATGGCGCTCTACAATAATCAATTTTATCGAGTGCTTTATGTGTTGCTGGGCGCCCCGGGGCGGAGACATGTCCGCAGTGGCGTGCCGATTATGAAGCGCTGCCACCAACCCCCTGGCGTTACCCGCGGGACATCACCTCCATGTAGGGTACCTGTGTGTGGAGACAATCTGGGTTAAAAAGAGCACCGCTGTAAGGCAACTAACCAATTAAAGTTGAAAATAACGTCAGAAACCGACCGGGATCGTGACCACTAGTTGCCGCTAAAGGATGTGAGGCATGGGCGGGTAGTTGCAGCCCATGCCAATGACTCTATCACGCAGCCTTTGAGTGGACTGTTTCTAGGCAACCGTTTCGTCCCTGCTACTTGGTGGCTTATTCAGGTAGAAAACCATTTGCAGATTTCCTTTTAGAATGCTTATTTTGTCCTCCCCGGGATGGGAAGAGGTGTATTTTAGGCCGTTAATATAAACATTATGGTCATAGAAAGTTCGATTGCCGGTTTTGCGAGAGCGAAGTTTCATTATTTCAATTTTCCCAATCCCATATTTTAATTTACATTTCATTTTCATCTTTTGTTTAATCGGGTATTAAGATATTGACCCCCCCCCCCAACCCAAGAGATTATCAAGCCCGATTTTCAGCGCCACTGAAATATATTTCCGAAATGTACACGCCGTGTGTCTGCTTATGTTAAAAGACGAATCTATTTACCCTATTTCGCGGGTGGGACATCATCAGATTTTCAGACATTGAGACTTCCATTCATTTGAAATTACTATTTATTATTAGCATGCTAAAACTTTTCAACATATTTTTCATTTCCTTTTCATTTTGCAATAACGTGAAAATAAATCATTTCAAAAATATATTATATAAGAAACAAAACTACCTACTGTTATAAAACCTAATGGGCGTATATCTGACACCTTGTAAAATGTGACTAAATTATTGGATATTTTACCCACCTGCAGATTCTCTGGGGTTTTGTGTTTTTGCGTGATGCAAGTACCATAGTTGGCGGGTCCCCAAGTGCCGTTGTCAAAACAAAGTTTGCTGGTGTTTGCTGTCGATGACAACGAAGCATACATCAGTACAACATTTTGAAACAAAAACTAGTTCCTTCATTTTCGATGAACTGTTCTCGTTTACAGCATTTCAAAATTATTTAGCTACGTATAACTTAACCAAGATCTGCTAGGAGACCTCTTCATTAAATATTTTTAAAAAATGAAATAAGAGAACTAAAGTTATGGAAAATCTGAAAAAAGAATCGCGATAAAATAACGAGCATTTCGACAGGAAGCCTTCGTCAGCGCAAAACAGATAAAACAGAATTAAATTAAAATAACACCACTTAGCTGAAAAGTAGTTTCTCAGATGGCAGCATAGTTATTTTGCTTTGTTTGATTCATTTACTTTTTGCTAACCTAATTGCAATCTCTGTCCCCACCCCTTTTAATCCTACTGATAGTGTGGTCACAGTACGAGGCTCTAGATAGTGTGTTCTCAATGTGAGGCTATTGATAGTGTGTTCTGAATGTGAGGCTATTGATAGCGTGTTTTGAATGTGAGGCTATTGATAGTGTGTTCTCAATGAGAGGATATTGATAGTGTGAACTCAATGTGAGGATATTGATAGTGTGTTCTCAATGTGAGGACATTGATTGTGTGTTCTCAATGTGAGGATATTGATAGTGTGTTCTCAATGTGAGGATATTGATAGTGTGTTCTCAATGTGAGGATATTGATAGTGTGTTCTCAATGTGAGGATATTGATAGTGTGAACTCAATGTGAGGATATTGATAGTGTGTTCTCAATGTGAGGCTATTGATAGTGTGTTCTCATTGTGGGGCTATTGATAGTGTGTTCTCAATGTGAGGCTATTGATGGTGTGTTCTCAATGTGATGCTATTGATAGTGTGTTCTCAATGAGGGGCTAATGATAGTGGTTTCTAAATGTAAGGCTATTGTTGGTGTGTTCTCAAAGTAAAGCTATTGACAGTTATTACCCAATTTTAAAATATTGAAACTTCATCTTTAATGTATGTTTATTGACATTGTATACCGAAATGAAGACCCTTTATATTTAGCTCTTATTTTAAGACTATTTACGTTTAGTACTCATTGTAAGACCATTTACATTTAGCTCTCATTTTAATACTACTTACATTTAGTACTTATTGTAAGAAAATTATATTTCTATCTCATTTTCATCATCATCAGTGGCGCTACAGCCCATGTAGGGCCCTGGCCTGCTCCACCCCATCCTTCCATTCGGAGCGATCCATGGTTTTCCGCCTCCATGTGCGAACCCCCAACTGGTGTATATCCTTCTCCACATCATCGATCTATCTCAGCCTTGGGCGACCGGTGAGTCGTCTGCCCCTAATCCTCTGCCTGTATATTACTTTTGCTGCTCTATACTCCGGCATCCTTTCAACTTGTCCTGCCCAGCGTAGACTGCACTTTTTTATCACTGTGACTATGGTTGGGCCTTTGCACAAATGGTAAAGTTCTTGGTTTGTACTAATTCTCCAGATATCATTTTCTATCACTGGGCCGTATATTTTTTGGAGGATTTTCCTCTCCCATGTGTTGAGCAGGTTCTCTGCTTTTCTGGTAAGGGTCCATGTATCACTAGCGTACGTTACTACTGGTCGTATGATAGTGGTGTATGTTGTCTTCTTTGTTTCCCTTGAGAGGTTTCCATTTAGTGACTCCAAGTTATATCTCATTTTAAGACTACTTACATTTAGTACTCATTGTAAGACCATTTACATTTAGCTCTCATTATGAGACTACTTAAATTTTATAGACATTGTAAGACTTCTAATATTTACAATTCATTTTTAAGACTATTAACAATTAGTACTCATTGTTAGTCTATTTACATTTAGTACTCATTGTAAGACTTATAAATAGTAGTACTAGTTGTACTATTACACATTTAGAGCCCATTTTAAGACTATTTAGATCCCTTGATCACAGCACCAATCTTGTCACTGGCTTTAATATTCCAAAGGAACATTCTTTCTTGTAATGACAAACGATACAATTTAATCTTTTTTTTTTTTTTTTAAATTGATCTGAGATGACTTAAATGGAGGCACCGATGAAGGGAGATTTTTTGGCCATTGTCTCGCCCACTCTTTAATATTAAACTGTACCAGTTGCGCTTAGAAGATGGGGAAGTTCCCAGGTTCGCAGGAAGGAGAGTGTTGGGGCGGTGGGGGGCTCCGGAGTACACTGCTACTTACAGTTAAGAGGAATAATTAAAAAAGAAGACCTCAAGAAATCTGCGTTGCCCACAATGATCAATCCGCCCAGCAGTCACCCTTATTATCCATCGATCGATGAAGATATATCAGTTCAACAGTCCCCATGATGATCCATTAATCCAACAGTCACCATGAATATCCATCAATCCAATAGGCACCATGATGATCCATAAATCCAAGATTATTCCCCGATTCATGATTATAAATCAAACCAACAGTCACCATAATGATCAATCAATCCATGATAATCCACCAATGTAAGAAGATCCATCAATCCAATCGTCACCATGATGATCCATCAACCCATGATTATCTACCAATCCATGATAATCAATCAATCCAACAGTCAAAGGGATGATTCATCAATCCATGATTATTCATCAATCCCAGACAATCCACCAATCCAACAGTCACCATGAGTATCCATCAATCCAAGATGATCCATCAATCAACAGTCACCATGTTGCTCCAATCCAGCAGTCACTATGATGATCCTTAAATCTATAATGATCTATTAATCCACTATCATCCATCAATTCAGCAATCACCGTGATGATCTACTATTCGATGATGATCCATCAATCCATGATGATCCATCACTTCACCAGTCACCATGATGATCCAGTAATCGATGATGATCCATCAATTCATGATGATCCATCAGTCTAACAGTCGCCCAATCTAATCTGGCTTAAGCAGTTAATACCGCTAATAATTTCAAACACAAAATTTTGGAAGCTATCTCCAGGAAGCCGTTTTTGAAATCTCAAGCCTGGAGTGTGTGGCTTGCTAGGAGCACTGCTCTGCGCCCGGTTCGGGCGGAGATGAAGTGCACACTCTTCGGTACATGCTAAGGATCATGAACACAGCAATGGTGCTTCTAATACATATATAGGGTCGACTGGACGGGACAGCATCATTATGCAGATAAGGAGATGCCTCGTATCAACCTAAAATAAATCTCTAGAGACTGCCAGACAGCCACTGTTTCAGCCCGGCTGATGAACGTGTCACAAAAACATGTTTCCATATGCTTTAAGGGTTTCTCCTGTCTATTTTTAGCGCCATAAATTGTTCTTTATTAGATACATTTCAACATAAAGCAATGTTCATTATATTGTAAAAAAAATTATTAATATGTATTCCTAAATTCATCGGATTAAGGACAATGGTGTGATTTTCATGCATTAAAGAAAATAACTATTTAAACGCGCCTTTTCATATACATACAAAACATGCACATTATGATTGGTACTCACATAACTCATTCGAAATGAAACTGTCAGGACACTGGACAGTAGCTATGTTGCCAGCTACCGTGGCTGGCCAGCAGGAGAAGGTGTCAAACGTTGAATTACAGTACAAAACATCAGGGTCTGAAACAAGAGTCAGGTTGAGGAAGAGCAGGTCACTTTCTGGGTCACATGGCTGCCATGCTTGAAATTGTGTACCTTGTCTTTTGAGCTCCATTTATAGAATGTCTACAATGTCGGAGGTAAGCTCTTGAAAGAAGATCTACTTTCTCTGTAAATGACTTAAGGGCTACGAGAAGGTTCAACGTGAAACCATTGCCAACATCACTTCAAAAAACTTATCTCATTCATTTACCGTACAATTAATTTTTTTTTTTTAAACTTAACATTTGATTTGTCTTTAACACGTTCTAACAATTATTTCTCGAAGGTCCAACTCGCTTGAAATGTAAGGGGATAGCGTTATCATAGCAGTAATCTATTTTTGTGAGAAAATATGCCCGCTTAACGTGTTCCTCTACTTCCAACTAGTGGACATTTTAAAACAAAGGCAAGCCCTCACTTTTATAAATCTAGCTGTTTATGTAAACACATAGCCTGAACATGTGTATCTGCGAGATGTATTGAAGAAACAACTTTTGTGGAGAAGTTCTTAAACGGGCGTTGTTTAAAGAAATATATTTAGGGCAATGTCTATTTTTTAATTTAGTTTTTATTTCCTAATGTGCAGTAAGCAGGACCCATGGTGGGTCAACGCCCTTTCGGCAACTCAATCACCCATTTTATACCAAACATCCATGGCAATCATCCGCGTAATCTAATCATATGACAGTTTTCATTCCCTGACTCGCAGCCATTCTTTTATCTGAAGTTTCTATTAAAGGAAACAAATTTTATAAAATAAAACAAAAACAAACAAAAAACAACAGAAAACACGCTCACAACCGATTTTTTTTTTAAACATGCAATTAGTTCGGTATTTTTTGTGTGTGTTTTTTTAACGTGTATATTTCCTCTTCAAAATGCTGCCAGGATTTCGGGAAAAAATTCCCTGACGTGTTTAAATTATATGACATCTTTCATCCACGTACACTTCATACAATCCATAAATTTTTATTTTACTGAGTTATCCTCTAAGCATCTCACAAAGCGGGATATTCTATTTTTAAACAACATCATGTCCGACGAAAACAAACTTTGACTGCTCAAATATGTGTGTGACGTCCTCCAACAGCAAGAGAGAGAGAGCGTCGATGGCCAGACAAGTTATCTTGACTGAGAGTGCATTAGCACGTTGAAAGATTGGCTTTCAAAAAGGGGCACACTTTTTATTTTATATTCTCCTTAAAAAATTGAAATGCTATTTTTATTTAATTGCCGTAAAATTAAATCAACTTCTGCGACTCGGTTTATTAAACGTAAAATGCTATTTTCGTGCAAGGCAAATTTCTGGAGTAGCCCGTGGCGTCGCCTGCATTATATTGATAATAATTGATGGACTGCATCAATTTTGATGAAGTCTCTATACCGAAACGTCAGACTCTTTTGTCCTGTGAATGAATTCAAGTCCAGCAAAACTTGTTCTTATTTTTATTGTATTATATTGGTATAAAATCCTCATATTACCAGAAAGGTTTAGTTTTATAAATTTTTTAATAATATGCATTTTAATGATGTCAAAGTCTTTTCTAGTTTAATTACAAAACTGCACCCCAAAAAATGCTCGCTTTTTGCTAGCCAACTCTGTTAAATTGAGCAACAAAAAAAAACAAAAAAACAACTACAACACAAACATCAACAACTACAACATCAACAACTACAACAACGAAATGGGAAGAACGCCAGAAGACAGCATTTGGATCAGTTTAACTCCTGATAAATGGTCTACATTAGCAGAGGACGTGTGCATGCCGTCATGGTGTCGTCAGTAAACATGCGGAGTTATCATAGAAAACTTTACAAAATACACAAAGTCGTTACAAGTCACATGATTAGAAGACGGTACGTCTTCATGACTGTGTATCTGTTATGTCATCGTCCAAAGTTTATGTATGGTTAACAAGTCCAAACAACGAGCATGCACAGATGAATACATGGTTGAAGAAGCCGTTAAAAATGAAGCACTACTCTCTAATGAAGCTGGGACTGTATATAGGCAGATATAGTCAATATATATAGACAATACAAAGGCAATATGTACACAATATATCGACAATACAAAGACAATATGTACACAATATATAGACAATACAAAGACAATATGTACACAATGACAATATAGACAATACAAAGAAAATATGTAGACAATACATAGACAATATAAAAGCAATATATATTATGAATATATTTTGGGGGGAAAATGTTTTGATCCTAGAATACCTAATTTTACACAGGGCGCGTCTAGTTCGTTCTTATCAAATAGCTACTTTATCAGGTAAAATAAATCCACATTGTTGTCTTTCATAGTTCTACCGAATCGTAATGGAAACAAATCTTAATTCTTTGTTTAATCTTTCGTTTCATCCAAATAAAGATTTTACAAGTAAATGTGTTCAATTTTTATTGGCATTGATTATTAGCTCAGCACCCCACGTTCATCTAGTTATATATAATTCACCAGAAGAAGTAGGGCAAACAAGACGAAGGCTATAAATAGATACGCCAGAGCAAGCAAGCAAAACGCAGGCGAACCCTCCCCTCCCTTTCCTTGTGTGCCTAGCGTTGGTCTCGAGACATGCGCACTGCGGTGGAGCTACCACCACACCCCCGCTCCTTCACCACTCTCCCTTGCTAGCCAAGCTCGCGGCGTCTGCTAAGCCGCTGGTCGGTGTGAAATAAAAAGTGTGCCGTGACGTGTCATGAAAAAAAAAAAAGGGGGGGGGGGGTAGCAAAATTGGCATTCTT